TATGTACAGGCTTTGTACACAAGTCACCGACACATGGAACATTATTATTCTCAAATAATTTATTCAGATAATAATGGCGTGGAGATGCGAGTTTGTCTAATCCATCTTCTGTATTAGACAGTGTATCTCGTGTCAGTCCCTAACGAAATTCATAAGGTTTTATTACGTTATTCACTTCTATGGTTACGCTTATTTCAGGATTTCCATAATGGTTTTATTTTATTTTGGAACAATCCACTCTCATTTTGTATGTTAAATAAGATAAGTACGAATATGTACCTATTGATATTCATATTAATATTTCTAGAATAAATTACTTCTACTCTCAATGTAGTTATGAATATTTACGGGTTAGCTCTTTTTTCAACATCTGTGTAACTTCCTCTATAATAGAGAGGAGTATAATTGAATTTAATAAAATCGTTATTTACTTAAATAGTGCGATAAACTGAGTTTATCGTGTCTCTCTTTGTGTCTATATCAATGTAACTAATTGATTTCTGTACAAATGTCTAAACAATGTAATATTCAATGACTCGTCATCTTCAGTTCTCTCTAAATCAACTACTATAGTCTAGGGTTCCTAATATTATGGGACTAATAAATAAAACACCAGAATAAGTATACAGCAATTGTGTTAATTGGTTTTATTAAGTCGTGTTAAATGTAAAACAGTTCAGAAAGGCGTCGAGTGGTCCGTGGCTGTGAAGAAATTGTGATACTGTAGGATAGTTGATAAGGGCACGAAGAGCCGTGTCGGCTTGAAATTATAAGGTTAGCTGCGGACCACTCAACTCACAGGTCACAAGCGCACGCCTAAAATACATTATGAAGCTCGTTAATACGCTGTAGTCACAAAATAGGGAGGTACAATAGAACCGCTTCTTATGGCCCGCTTACATGGTTAACTATCTTCGGCATTCTAGTCGTTGGATTTGCCAACCACCTAAAAGTTGTCATTATCTCATTTTAGTTGATATGATTGCAATTTTGGACATCTTAAGTGGCGCTGCAGCACTAAGTTTAGACAAACGATACCGTCGGATTGTCAACGCTATGAAGTTGCTCAATACAAATTCCAGCTAGATGTGAATTGTATTGAAACATGACCACGTCAAAACTAAGCAGCGGCCTGTATGAGACGGCTCTACTGTAACCATTTACAATGTGCTGTGGTGCTCGGTTACCTTGTATAACAATGTGTCTACGTCCCAGTTTTTGAAACTGTTTATTGTTTCCAAAATGTTAGAACTGCGAGTTGGAAGCCAGGAACAAAGACGCGGTTCCGTTTGAGTAGGTGGCGCGTATTTCAGTAGGGCTACGCCGCAAACTTGCGGTTTGTTCTCAGTTCGAAACTGGTTTTCAGTGTTGTAAAGTCGTGGGTGTTGTAGATTTATTGTTTTAAGTATACACACTAATAGCGCGAGGTTTTTATAACGCTTGAAAGCTTTTGTTGAGTTGACGGTGGACAGAGTCTGTCTGATGTCGCTTAGGGAGTGCACACAATCGGAAAGCTACAGCGAGACATCTTTAGGTGAGGATATTTAGATGTTGAAAACTTTAATGTTCTAATAATACGAAGCTGCAATGCTTATAGTCACACCATTATCATTGCAATTTCAGCCGTAGTATTTAATTATCACGGTGTAATATTCGTCACCAATAAATATATTCTTTGCTGTGTAGGTCCGATCGTGGTGCGTGCTACCAAAGGTTAGCCACGTTGTTGGTACGCTTTCAACTCGCAGAAAAAACTTGGTAACTAAGAACGTAGATTGTATAAATACTGTTATGTACGCTTGTGTTAGGAAGTACAGTGATTACGTCATATCTTCTCTACATAGTTAAATATTGTTTAAAACGAATCACAAAATAACAGCCAGATTTCAGACAAAATACTTAGTTTATGCTAGACAATAAAGGTTCAAAAAATTGTTCAGTCGTAATTTATAAGAAATAGGTTTCTCATTTCCAAATATCATTACACTTTAGTTTTAATTTAATGTTAACAATGTTTTCAGATGTTCTTCGAGATGAAATCTCGTACATTGTGAAGGGTGTTATTGTCGTATTAACTAAATAAATGAAAGGTAATATAAGATTTTTAATAATATTGAAAAACTTAATAATAGGTATAAATATTAGTAATAATATGAAGATCATGATTACAAAGTAAATAATTATAGTCTATATTTTAGTTTACATGGAAAGTAAAAACTTCTCACGAAGTATTGAGGAAGATATATTTACTACATTAACTAATTGAAACTACATCCATACATCCAATATTAATTGTATAATAGTTAAGTAAAGAAACGAACAAATCCTGTGCGTCCAAAATGGCTTCAATTCCTTTTTATATTAAATTTTTCTTGTTACTCAAATCCCTACAACCGAATCGTAAAAGTGGCAATTGTCAAAAACCCTTATTCGAATTCAACCGATAACATTTTAACATTGTTAAATTTTATTTTCTACCTACGAGTACATCCCTAATCCGAACTTTTAATTTATTTTTTAATCACAATTTTGTAAAAAAAAATATTTTTGTTCTTTTACCGTTTTCTCTCTTATAGGCTTCCCGTTAAAGCCTTTCCAATTTTAATTAATTTTGTTAGTTTCACATTTCATTCTTTTCATTAATTATATTTTGTTCTAGCTACTCGACATACTTCTCTATGACGATGTTGATATTGTTAAAAATCTTTCATTCATAAGTAGGCCCCTGAAATAGTTGGGAAAATGTGGTGGCCTATTTTCTTCGTAGTTGCCTATCGTCTCGGAAATTTGCCATTTACACAGGATATCAGTAGTAGAGAGTTGATATGTGACCCCAAAAGACAACAGTGAGTGAAGGAAGAGTGCTTAGTCCACAGTGTACATCTATCATTCTACTTACAACACTGATGATTACAATATCCACCTAAAGAGAGGGCCGCACCAGGGCTCAAGCTAATGCCCTGAATGAAACCCTGCTCATAATATTGATTATGTAATGGGAGTGAAGCTATCGCATTTCGACAAAGATTTAAATAATGTTATACAGTGTGAGTCACGTTAAAGTGTACATATGAAAATAGATGAAACTAGACCTATTTTTATCGAGATAAAAGTGGCCAAAATTTTTTTTAGATTTTTTTAAAATTTTTTATAGAATTTTTTTTCTTCCAATTACTTATTGTAAAGAAAACCTAATAACTTTTAAACTAAGCGGTATATCCTGATAAAATAAAAACAGTAATGATGCTAAATAATAAGCAATACTAAAAAAATACATAAAGTACACAAAAAATGCCAACAAATAATAAAAAATGATACTTTTTGAAAAAAATCTGCTTTTAAATTCGTGTTTTTTTTTGTTATTTGATAAATTTCTCCAAAAAATGCCCCTATAACAGGTGGTTTTTATTACTTTGTATTATTCTCTATCGTATTATCTTTGTAAAACCAAAAATCGCATGTCTCTATCCCTATCACAACATTTGCTATGATCGTTTGAACAAAGGCCTGCCACAACATTATTCTCCGCTACAGGTAGAGACAATTTTAATTTTAACTAAAATACTTATTTTACTTCGAAATCTTTTGTTTTTATTTGAAATCTAATTTGTCTTTATCAAAATTACAAATCTAGAGCCATTTTCAGTTTCGTTGTTAATGAAGCGTTGAATGGCGCGCCCGGAGAGGCTTAGTTCAAACGATCATTGCAAACGTTGTGATAGGGGTAGAGACATGCAATTTTTGGTTTCACGAAGGTAATACGATAGAAAATAATACAAAGTAATAAAAACCACCGGTTATAGGGGCATTTTTTGGAGAAATTTATCAAATAACCAAAAAAACACGAATTTAAAAGCAGATTTTTTTCTAAAAGTATCATTTTTTATTATTTGTAGGCATTTTTTGTGTATTTTATGTATTTTTTTAATATCGCCCGTTATTTAGCATTATTATTGTTTTTATTTTATCAGAATATACCGCTTAGTTTAAAAGTTATTTCGTTTTCTTTACAATAAGTAATTGGAAGAAAAAAAAGTCTATAAAAAATTTAAAAAAAATCTAAAAAAAAAATTGACCTCTTTTTTCTCGATAAAAATAGGTCTAGTTTCATCTATTTTCATATGTACACTTTAACGTGACTCACACTGTATAAAGATGAGTATAGACTAGAGCATACACTTGTAATAGAACAACCGAGTCGCTATGATATCGTAGGTATATTTTACATGTGTTGTATCATTCGTAAGAACGTTACATTATACAGAAATGCTCTAATCTATACTCACCTTAACGCGATTACATTATACAAATAAAGTCTTGAACGAATGAAAAATAACATTTAGAACATTATCTGAAGGTGAAAATAGAAATAAAAATCCACATTTATGGAAATGTTTTTAATAAATTAATGTAGAATACCCGAAAAGGGAATGCAGAATAATAAACTTCAAAATGCGATAGCTTTTATTTTTGCTCGCTTCGCTTTCTTTCGTTTATTCACAATCCAGTATTAAAATAACGACGTGTTCGAGTTAACAACGCTTCTGATTTTACACCACGCGAATATCAGGCATTGTACTCGTTATGTTCAGTTATATTGTTAGTAGGTAATCTGTATTACGTTAATTAATACTGGACTTTGTATACTTTTCTGATTCCCACATAGGAACTATAAGTCCCACCGCACGTGTACGTCTACCCAGCGAGGCTCATCGATTGGGGCTAACATAGATTGTATACATTAATCTTGTTTTAACATACATCAATTGGATTAAACTGTCGGACTGTTATTGTTACGTGAACACTTTTCACATATCTGCCAAATTCAGAGCGGGCGTTGGAATGACGTATTGCTCATACCCACATTTTCCAATCGAAGGTTATTAACCTCTCGGATGTCAAATAGAAACGGAATAGCCGCCCAACTTTTATATTGATGGTCGATCGGTGATGGAATACCTGCCTGGTGAGAGGATAACGATTGAATGTCATTTGTTATGTTTAAAAACGACAGGTGCCGTTGTGATTAATTTGCGCACGGTCTTAATTGCTCTAGCCTGTTAGCTGCCGGCATTTCGCTTTCAGGGTGTAAAAATGGTTGCTAAATATTATTCAGAGCTGAAATACCTCTGCATCATTGTTGATGACGCTCGCACCATAATACATAAAATTCATTCCACGTACTTCTGTTTTTGGCAGACATGCGTAAGCGCATGTGTTTAAACATATTCAGTGTAGAAAGCGTTGCTGGTGCAGTTCCCGTTGTCGCTGGGCGAGTCGGGGTGCTCCTCGGGCTCCACGCCGTTGGTGCGCATCTCGTCGCGGACCTAAACCAAACAATGCAATTAAAGAAAGATAAAAGAGGAATACAAAAAAACAGCATGGGTAGCGTGAAAGTTGATGACGAAGTAATTGGCATCCGTATTTATAAAAGATTACTTTTATTTTGTATCTTTGTAATCTAATGATATTTATTGTTAAATCTAACCTAACCTAACGAATGAAACTGCGTTAATAAAGTCATCTTTAGTTTCATCTTTGTAAAAGTCCTGCTTCATAACGAATATTTTTGCCATACAAATAATTTCAAGGAAATCGTTAGTTACATTCAACCAACGTTGTTTGCTTGCGTAGCAGTTTCTTTATACAAATATACAGAAAAACAAGCTATTCCTTTAGTACTATGTACTCAACTTTGCGATTGCGGTAAAACATCAAACGGTTTGGTTAACTAAACGGTAAACAAACATCTGCATGAAGCAGTTTCAACGAACTAAAAGTGGCAAGTTCACAGCTACAAATACTAGTTCTTCCTGGAAAACCAGCCCTCAGTTTAATTCAGTGGTTCCCAACCTTTTCTGGACCAAGGACCACTTTGATTTCTTTATTGTTCGCAGGGACTATTAAAAAATCCGAAAAAGCACTAAAAGAAATTGAAATAAGTTCGTTCGTTTCGGTCGAAAGACGTTCACTGCTGGACAAAGGCCTCCCCAAGGATTTCCACAAAGACCGGTCCTGCGCCGCTCGCATCCAGGCACCTCCCGCGACCTTCACCAGATCGTCGGTCCACCAGTGGTCTGCCCACGCCACGTCTTCCGGTTCGTGGTCGCCACTCAAGAACTTAATTTCCTGCCCCAGCGGCCATCATCTCTACGAGCTATGTGCCCCGCCCACTGCCACTTGATTCTAGCGATTCTGCGGGCTATGTCAGTCACTTTGGTTCTCCTACGGATCTCTTCATTTCTGATTCGATCACGCAGGTAAACTTCGAGTATAGCACGCTCCATCGCACTTTGGGTGACCTTGAGCCTTCTTATGAGGCTCATAGTAAGCGACTGCGTCTTAGATCCGTATACCTTCACTGGCAACACGCACTGGTCAAAGACTTTTGTCTTGAGACACTGCGGTATTTCGGACATGAGAATATCGCGAAGCTTTCCAAACGCTGCCCAGCCGAGTTGGATTCGACGATTGACCTCTTTCTCGAAGTTGAACCTACCTAATTGGACTGTTTGTCACAGGTATACATAATTGTCAACAACTTCGAGTGTAGTGTTTCCAACCTTCAGAGGAGGCATCTAAAATGAGTAAGTATCATTTAGTAGGAAGTGTTCCTTATTTAGAAAAGCAACTAGGTAATTACATTTATATCTCAATCAATGTGATTTTTTTGTCTTTACAAGTTCGGTGATCCTAATATGGGACTAATATTACTTATTATTACTCAAACCCTCTCATGACAAGCGGAAGCTCGTGAAATTTAAAATGGAATATATGTATATTTTAACTGCTGATGGTCAGTGGGACACTGGTTGGGAACCCCTGGTTAATGGTTAAACAACAGTTGCAACAACAAAGTTTGCATCGAGATGCCGTAATGATACGCCTCAGGTGATAGAGACTAACGGGTCCAATTTAGTTGGAAAACGGAGTATCGGAACTGCATTTGGTTTTGAACCTTTATGTGCTTAGCTTGGAGTTCTAATTGTTGTATCAATTACATTTCAGAAACTTAAACGAGAGTTAATAATGTTCACTTGGGACTATTAAAGTTTGTTTGCTTGGATAAATTCAGATGGATAAGCAGTTTTCAATCGACGTTATTATAGTCCTTTTGCGTTCATCAAATCAGTTTTAATTTTGTCGTAATATGGTAAATAAAATAAAATAAGCGTATGCGGAAACCAGGAGAGCCAAATATTAAACACTCAAATCAAGGGCTCTTCAATTGCATATGTATTGGTGAAATCTGTGGCCGCTCTACGATATGGACAGAAACAATATTAACATTATCAATATTCCATGATATATCTACCCAAAGTGACGTTCGAATTACTGATTGAAGAAGAGGTAGAGATTGACGATGAAAAAGGTAAAAAACTAATAAAGTACAAAATTGAAATACCTTTTCCACCTGACGCATCACCCGCAGCATGTTGAGTCCAGCCAAGTTCTTCAGCTCTTGTACGCTCCACTGACCGCTTCGCAGCAGTTCGGCGAACAGCTCCGGGTAGCGAGAAACGTCTTCCAGTCCACGAGGCACCCTGAGGATAAGTAACAGATAAGACACCAGAAAAAAACCAGTACTTGTAGATGATTGTTACTATGTTTGTAGATAACTTTACATTTTACTTCGGATCCTGTCGCAATAGCTTAGCTGCATCCCCAAACTATTTATACAAGACTGTAGATGAATGACTTCATCAAATGTAACATTATCTAGAGGGAACGAATATCAAAATCAAAAATATTTATTCAATTTAGACCTGCGTGATCGAATCAGA